TACACAGGGGTGCAGAGGAAATTCAAATTCATACAAAGCCCTCTCCCCCCCAAATGGGGGCGAATGAGAAAAGAATTTGAGACAAATAAAGAGGCCATAATAATAATAAGTATCATTTATAGAGGCTTAGAAGGCTAAGTAAAGATCTTTAATCAGTACAACAGCCCAATTAAATGCTTACTATTTATTGTCCCAAGTTAATAAATGAGGAAAATGGGTCTTAGAGAGAGACTAAGGGGTTTAATTGAAAACTGCAAGTCGGTGGCAGCACTGGGATTTGAACCTGTGACTCTAAAGTAACTGCCCTTAACTATTCTGCTATCCTGTATATGCATCTTGAGGACTTTTGGCTTTGTCCTGGGAATAACTAAAACTTCATTGTAACCCCAAAACCGAGACTTCTCTTGACGGCAAAGTTCCAAATCAATTTTCCCAGCTAGGGCTGCTCCAGCTTAAACTTCCAATGTTGCTCCACTTCAGACTTCTCAGATGCTGTCAGAAATTCCTAAGCTGGTCACTCAGTCTTAGCTCCATCATTTACAAGGGAGGGTCCTAAGGCATACAGAGAGACAAGGGCCAGTCGGTAGCAACAGATCTCATAGTTTCCTCACCACACCAGGTAAACCTGACAGACCTGCATGTCTGCAGGCGCCTCCCTGGGACTCTACCCTGGAGACAGGGACAGAAGGACTAGATAGGCGGTTTCCCCCGGAGAGAACGCCTTGTTTCCAGGCCAGTCTCTCCCGCTGGAGCTAAGCGCTCATTTCAGCACCATGGTCAGGGGCACGCCACAGCCTTGCAGGGCTTCAGAGGAACTGGCAGCCTGGGTTAGCCACACAGGCCTTTGCTCTGTCGGCTTTGGCCAGAGATTTCCAGAAGCAGAAGCAGTAGACGGGAGGCCTGGGGCCTCAACAAGAAGTCCAGGGACAGCCAAAGCACAGGGAGCCTCTTGGCCTTAGGAGACCCCAAGTACTGGGCTAGAACCAAAGCACATAGGAATACGGATGGACTCGCTGCCCCTCAACTCTTATCTATGGGAACAGACGGAAGAGTTCTAAACTGCTAGTCAAGAGCCAGAATCCTAGTCCAGTCTCAGTTTGCTCTAATAACTCACTGAGTAATTGAAGGCCTTGGTCAAGTCACTGCTCTGTTTCCATGGGTGTGACCACCTGCCTTGCCCACTTCACTGGCTGATAAGAAGGGTTTAGGTTCCAGTAGCCCAATGTCAGCACAGGTGGCTCTTTGAAGGTCAGGCAGGCGGATAAGGTTAGAGTTAGTGTCAACCTCCTCTCCCACGCCTTTTTTTTAAACACGGCAGAAATTTTAAAAGGGGAGGGGGGAAAGGAACACAACATAGAGTGCTAATTACATGTATGTAAAAATGTAATTACAGTGTATCCAGCGCTCATTCTGGGCCATATTCTCTGTGGAATCCTCCATTCCCTCCCCACATTTCCCCAGTGACAGGGCCTGAGGGGTCTTTTCCACCGCTTCCAGCCGTGGGGGGCTGTAACGCCGTCCACCACAAGCAGGCCTTCTCTTGGGCGTCCAGAAACCCAAGGAAAGGGTATTAGAAACGCCCTCCAGCTTCTCTTGTGAATTAGCCGAGGCGCGGAGACTCGTCCAAGTTCACACAGCCCTGCCTGCAGCCGGTGGGGGAGAGAAGGGGCAGGGTCCGCCTGTGGTGTCGCGCGCGCCTGGGTCCCGCCTGCCTTTGTGCCAACCCAGCGGCCTGGCTCCCAGACATTAGCATTCCAATGGCTCCGGGACGCTTTGTCCTCCGTCAGAGGCCGGCTGGGGGGTGGGGTGGGATGGGGGCAGGGCACCATAAATCTACCTGCTTGTGTGTGCGGAGGGGACTGGGCGGAGGCGCCCCTCCCCCGCCCCAAGATTCATGTGCTGCTTTTCTGGAAGCCAGGCTTGGGCTCAGACAAAGGCAGAAGAAGGGGAAGAGTCATTCGACCCGAGGGTCTTTCCTGCTCCCCGTTGGGATCCTGTCGGAGTTTCAGGGAGCTGGGACGCAGAGGACGCTCTCAGACCTCAGGAGACTCCTCAGCCAGAGAAGTGGGACCCACCGAGGAACGGCGGGCTCCCAGCGGAGACGCGAGCAGCTTGGCTGGTTTTAAAAGCCGCTGAACGCGAAATGCGCGCGGGAGGTGGCGGTGGGCGGGGTGGGGGGGGGCTTGCTCATGATGCCGGGCTAGTTGGACACGCCACTCATAGAAATGTTTCTGAGCCCTTCTTGCTGAGGGCCTCTTTAGAAAGAGGCGTGGATGAGGCTTTGCACTTCAGCGCGATTTTACGAACATTGATGGAGCTCATCCAGAGCACTGATCCCTGAACTTTTTGATGATTCAACCAGACCCTAAACCTTTCTCCTTCTCCTCCTGACATGGAGAGCAGGGCTGGCAGGTCCGGTTTCAAATCTGCCCCGGACCCAAGGTGGCAGCCTAGCAGCCAAGTTGTTTAAGCTGTATGTGTGTGTGTGCTTTAATTTGTGGGGCGGAGGACCAGCCTGTGTGCACTGGGTGACTAATGGCTCCTTAATGAGGGCCCTCAAAGCAGGAGAGGGACTGGGCTTACCGGTGCAGTTGCAGTTCCCCCAGTGCCCCTGCACCCGCCCAGCTTCAGAGGGTTGTTTGTACCAAGGGGGTTCCCCACCTAGAAGAACACTACTTCCTGCAGCCCTGCACAGGGAGAAAGATCTTCCCACTCGAGGAATTCCTCTCCGAGTCTTTAGTCCTGGCCCGAATGCCAACTCCTCTGGCGAGCCTCCCACGATATAGTTTCAGGAAGAAACCAACAGTCTGATGATCATCCACTGTGAGGCTCATACCTCCGCCTAGCACCAGTATTTCTTTGGCCTTGAATGATTTTGTCTACATCCTTGTTACTGTCTGGGGAGGACAGAGAGACCTTCCTGCTTTTTTGTCTGTCTCCTCGCCCCCCCAACACCCAGGAAGTAGCAGGCACTTGCTTGATCAGTGTAACTCAGAGCTGCTGACACCTGCCCATGCTCCCCTCCCCACATGGCCCAGGTGGAAAGTTGGCTGTTACAGAGGTCACCAATAACCCATTAATCTCCTCCAACCAGATTAAAGCCACAAAATGAAACAAGACTTTCTTTCATTCTTTTGTTTGTTGCGTCCCCTTCCCACCCCCAAATCCTGCCCCTGAGACTGAGACATATCTCCTCTGAGCTACCTTTAGGGACTTGGGAATAAAGGAGAGGAAAAGTTCCATTTGAAGCTCCTGGGCTAGGAGAGAGAGACACACACATGCAAGAGGCATTTACGACCAAGAAGCTGCCACCGTTGTGGTGTAACATGCAGGAAAGCAACCTATGCACCAGCTTCTGGCCCCTGGCAGCACTGTGCCCCACTGGACTGGCCCACTTCTTCGGCACTGGACACTTGAGGTGGACCCAACCAAGGAGGCCTCTGGGGTTCAACTAGCAGGTACAGTGCTCGCCTTCCATTTTCCTATTTCCAAGCAGCAGACAGACTCTGTGGGTTCTTTCAGCTTGGTACAGCTTCCCTGAGGTCCTAAGGGGTCCCAGAAGCCATAAAGGGGAGCTCCACTAGCACCCTAGGGACCGATTTCAGCACACCAGCCCTATACCACCTTGGGAGTAAGAGAGATTCCAAGGCTAGAAGCCTCAAACAGTTTTTTGATCAGTTTTTAATCAAAGCTTTCAGGTATTTGGGAGGAGGTGCCAGAGATTCTAGCCGGACACTCCACCTTCTCTGCTCCCTGCTGCTCAGCTCCATGAATTCAAGACGCCACAGCCCCAGCGAGCCAGGTGCATAAGGGATTCTCAGGAGATGCGCTAGGCCTCTAAGTACCTTGGGAAAACTCCTGGGATGCCCAGCTCGGTGGTGGTGTTTCAGAAGACTCTGACCCTATGCCTGAGTGATTACTCTCTCCCTTCCCCAAGTGCAATAGTAGCTCTGAATTCGGCTGGTGGAGTTGGGGAAAGGTCACAGGGAGAGGCGGTAATCCTAGATGGAGGCTTGTCTATCTTCTAAACCGCTGTTTGAAATAAGACAAATCGCTGCCCCATAAAGAAAACAGGAGGGCTAGACCAATGATTTCTTAAGAGACTTCCAGCTCCTGGAATGCAATCTGCCCGACCTTCGTCCAGTGTCCAAGGGAGGAGCCTCAGATCACCAGAAAGAGTGTCCCCTCTCCCTGGACAGTGGCTCCCCTTCCTCAGCCGCAGCGTCTGAGACCCTCCTCTCCCCGCCCCACGATCAAGTCACCTTGCTGAGGCTTCTTGGGGGGGCGTCTAGATTTTTTTTTCTTTTTTTTTTCAGATTTTTTTTTATTGGCCCCAAATCTCACTGACCAGTCCCTAAATACTCTTACGTACAAAATATAGACTTTTCTCGCTGTGAAATCTCATCAATAAATACGAATGTGTAAAACAAGGGAGGGGTCATATAATTTACCCTACCAACATTCATTTCAAAAGACATCATATAATTACAAACCGATTTTGTTTTTAAAGACGCATGTCGCTCCCGGCACGGGCGTCGCAGCTCACGTTTCAGGACGCACGGAGGCTGGGGCAGTGCTTCGGGCGCCAGGCTGGCGCTTTCCCAGTCCACAGCCTGGTCTTCCATCCCCCAGAAGGCCAACGGCTCCAAAAAGTGCACGGTGAGAAGGCGGAGGATCACCTTCGTGGATTAAGGCAGAATGGAGCGCCCTGGAATCCCGGACTTGCTGGGGAGCAGAGGAGAAGGGAGGTGGCGTCTTTGGAGCGGGGCCAGGGGAGCAAGCGTTGAGAGACCCGACACTGGTTTAAATCACATTGGGGGAGGGGTGGTAAGAGACAGACCGACAAGCGGACAGACTTGAGTGAGGGTACGGCGACCAGAGATGGTGGGTGTCTCTGGCCGAAGAGTGCTACCATTCTCTTCTTTGAACGAGACTTTGGGGGTGGCAGCAAGGAGGGGACCTAAAAGTGCACAACTTGCAACGCCCACTCCGCACGGGCAGCGGCAAGAGTTGCGCGAGTTAGCGACGCACCGAGTGCAGGGAGATCGAATTCAGCCTGCCGCCCCTCGGGTGTCTGGGCGGGCCAGGGGTTAGCCAGCAAGAGGCAGGAGGAACAAGTGCTCTTGAGGGCCGCAGCCGCCGCCCACCTTAGACGGCTCGGGCTCCCTCCCTCTCTCCCAGCACCCATGCCCAGTGACGGACCGGTCCCTTCACAGAAAGTCTGCGAAAGCTGGAGCACCCGGGCGCAGGCAGGCAGGGGAGGTGGCCCCGGGCAGCCCCGGGCGCTCCTCTAGCGAGGCGGCCGGGCTCAGGCTGCCAGCCTGGGAGACCGGGGAATAGAGGGAGCCCCAGTCCCCCGCGGAGCCGGCGTCTGGGCTGCCCAGCTCCCCGTAGGGCGTCTCCAGTCGGTAGAAGCTGTGGTCCGCTATGCGCAGCGTCTGAGTCAGCGCCCAGATGTAGTTGTGGGCAAAGCGCAGCGTCTCGATCTTGGTGAGCTTCGCATCGTCGGGGAAGGTGGGCAGGACGCCGCGCAGCGCGTCCAGCGCCGAGTTGAGGTTGTGCATTCGATTGCGCTCGCGGTCGTTGGCCTTCTTGCGCCGACTGCGTCGTTGCTTGCTCAGCGCCAGCTCGCTCTTGGGCCGGCTGCGCCCCCCGCGCCGTGCCCGGAGCCTCTTCGGGGCCTCTCGGCAGCCGCCCCCTTCCGCCTCGGCGCAGTCCAGGGGTGTGCGCGTGGGGCTGGGCGGGGCGGACGCGGCGCAGGTCACTTCGCAGTCTGAGGTTCCCGGGAAGGGCTGCCCCAGCTCGTGGGTCACTTGGACAGTGGGCGCGCCCGAGGGATGAGGCGCCATCCTGCGGCGGGGTAAGAGGGAAGGGTAAGCAGGAGTCGGTTACCGGGCACAGTCCCGGATCTCAGGGCCAGGTGGGAAAAAACCGAGGAAGAGGCACCCCGCTGTCTCCCCGCCAGATCAGAGGGCCCCTCTTCCCACGCCCTTCCCCGCCGGTCCCTTGACCTCTAGGTGTTACCTCTAACAGTTCTCGCGCTAAAGAACAGAGAGCGGAGAGCAGCTAGAGCGCGGGGAGCTGAGCCGGCCTTCACCTCCGCAAGTTCAACTGAGCTGCAGGCGCCCCCGCCTGGGAGTCGTCCCAGCTCCGGAGCAGAAGAGTGAAAGGGGGTCCCCGGCCTCCGTCACTCCGGGTCCGCTCGGAGGCGAGACCGCGGGGATTTCCTGAACCGCAAGTCGTGTGCCCCTTGCCACGCTTTATCTGCTCGGCCCGGGCCAGGAGCGTGCCTGCCGGGCTGCTGCCCGCGCCACCGGCCAATCAGCGCCGGGGCCCGGGGGCCGCGCCACGCGAGCCTGCTCCTCCCCAGCAGGGCACAGCTGGATTCCGGACAAAGGGCGGGGGTCGGGGGAGGGGAGGGACGCTCTGTTTGCTCTCTCCCGCGGGCTCTGTCCCAGCAACTCTCGGTTCCTCAAAGAGCCTCGTCTGGCTCGCGTCTGGCCGCTCCAGACCTCTTTGCTCCTATCCTATCTTTCTTTGGCATCTGTCCAGACGCTTTCTTGGTACCTTGGAGGGGATTCTGGGACACCTATAGGGTAGGCCAATCCCTGCGCGTTAACATGGGGAAATTTAGGCTCCCACAGGAAGGTGGCTTCTCCCAAATGGCACAGCAAGGTAGTGGCAGAGAGGGAACAAGGCGGCAGGTGTCCTGGCTTGGAGGAGAATCCACTAATTCTAAATGTCACCCTGATCTCCTGCACTATGGGTCAGGTTATTAACACACATGAAGTGGTGTTTCCCTGATCCTCTCCACCTGGGAGGGAGGACGGGGGCCACCTCAGAGCAAGATCCTGCCCATATCCCTTCCGTTCAAAGACCTTGGACTGGATGTGTCCTAGACCCCCTCCACACCTGAAGATGCCCCCTCACGCTTCCCAGAATGAGGCACTTAGAACCTCACCCTACTCCCCAGCCCCCCACTGATCCCACCCCGGAGGTAGATGGTGGCTGTGTGGACCCACCAGGGGACAATCGCCACTGCCACTTGTGAGCATTAGCATGGTTCTGGCCAGCTAGGGCCTGGGGGGGTGGCGGGGAGGGAGCTCAGGAGCAGGCCAGGAGTTCACAGTGAGTCCTTGTGTCTTTTGAACACCCATGGCATGAGAAGCGATCAACTTTTTCTCTTTAGTCCTTCTGTCCAATCACAAGCAGGCAGGAGCTGCCAGCGGTCACCTGGTCCAGCCCCCTGCCTCAGCATCATGCAGTGATGCATGGGGAGCACAGGGTAAGGACTCTCCAAGGCCCTCATTTTGCCCCCATTAGCACCGTCTGGAAATCTCTAAAGTGAACCTGAGCACATCATCCCTCTTTTCTTCCCCAGCCCCTCCCTCTAGTCCCCCACCTGGGACACCCCCTGGTCTTCTGCTTCTGGTCACTTAGGGTGAGGGGTTGCAGCTTCCCCTCCTCTGTTTTGACCCAGTTGTGCCTGGAGGAAGAAGCTGAGGCTGGGTTAAGTTCTCCGGATTAGGTCTCTGTAGTTGTTGAAGGCTTCACTTTCTAGTGTTTTCTGGATACCCCAAACCTGCCAGAAACTGCAGGAGAGGGCAGGACCCGGCTGGAAGACTGAGGGGATGGGTGAGGGGAAGAGGTAGGTTGGCCCGTCTGCCCTAGGGATGGCCTCTCACCGCCCAGGCTGCTTGGGGGGAAAATCCCTCCAAGGCAGAGGGTGAGGTGCCTCTGGCAGTGAGAGGAGCCTCTAGGGCTGGGCTGGACTGGGGGGCTGTCTTGTCTCTCTTGGCTGGCATACTGTGAGCAGAGGCTGCTTTTTTTGCTGCAGAGGGGAATTAAGCCTGGGGCCAGGGTCAGGGCCAACAAAGGGGATGCTTGGGACTCTTGAGCTCCACCTTTTGCTGTGGCTCCTCCCTTCGGTCACCATTCACTATAAACTTGTCTTCTAGCTATAAGAATGGGAACTCAAGGCCCACTTTACAGATGGAAGAGTCAAGGCCCAGAGAAAGGAAGTGACTTGCCCAATGTCACACAGCAAGTTCTATTAGAACCATATGGAACTCAGGCCATAAGACTCCTAGTCCTAGATTTTTCCCTCGGACCAACTCCCTCTTTTTGATTTGGGGGATATGTTTTTCAATGCAAAATAAGAGACCCCAAAATGCAGAAGATAGAGGAAGTCCCGAGTCTGCATGAAATGCCAGGGTCAGAATAGAGACAGAGAAATGGCCGATTTCCCAGCCAAGGTGAGCCAGTGCCCACTCATGCTCCATTTTAAGCTTTTCTGCTCCATAGCCAAGCCTCAGTTGATTTATATCCCTGCAAATTAGGAACTGAGGGAGAAAACCCAAAGCGTGCCCCCTTGGGGCCCCTGGATCAGGCCTGGCTCTGTGGAGGGACCCTGGGCCATGAGGGATCCAAGCGCCTTTGCGGTTTTCTGGGGGCCTGAGGAGCAGCCTATGGCAGAGGCTGTAGGTGGGAGTGTCACTGCCTTGGCAGGGGCCTGCCCGGAGTGGCTAATGGATACTGACAAGAGCCGCAGGGCCAGTTTCCTGAGCGGGAAAGACTCAGGGGATTCTTGGAACTTTCTTGATTCATAGAGAATTCTGAGACCCCCTTGAAATTCTTATCCAGCCCCCCCACAACCCCTGTGGCTCAGGGCCCTCAAGGGCTTGCAGGCCGCTGTCACTCTTGCTATGCGCAAAAAGCAGTCAGAATCAGGAGCGCGCAGCTGCCGGGGGAAACCGCCTCCTTGCGGAGCGCAAGGACTTTCCGCTGCCCTCTCCGGCCAAGAGGCTGGGGCAGGAGGTCGAGGAATCCTAGCGAATTAGAAATTCGGGATCCATGCCGTCCCTCTTGGCTGCAGGGGACGCACTGATCACTCTCCAAAATTAATTCCTGTGTTTTTGGTGGCGGAGGCGCAGGCAGTGACGGCTCTGTGCGCGCTGGCTGTGTTTGTGAAATGGCTCTTCCTCGCGCGGAGCAGAGCCTGTTCCTGCAACCCCCGGTCATCAGCAGCCTTTAAGGCTTCTGGTACTCCAACACCCCTCTCACCCCTGAGATCTAAGCTTTCCAGGAGGCTGAGCTGCTCTGGGAAAGGCGAGAGACACATGCCTGGAGACCGTGGGCAGATTGGAAGAGAAGGAAGGCAGCGGCTGGCCCTGCCGCCTTCCAGTCGGCTGGGGGTGGGGGGTGGGATTTTAGCATTGCTTGGGGGCTCTTTGAGAATCGCATGGGGAGGGAGGGGGGCCATGGGAAGCTGAATAGCTAATGGCTTGCCAGAGGAGGGGGCTTCTTTCTCTCGCCTTCAGCTCGGCACTGAAAGAAGGGAAGACAAAAATCTGGTGAGCGAGCTGCTCCGGCTGAGACTGGCCACTTCAAACAGCCCTTCAAACAAAAGGAGACGACGAAAAGAAAGCCCCACCTGTCTCCAGTGTTTGCTAAAATAATAATAAATAGATTTCGTTTAATAAATAATTACAAGAGATTGTAAAGTGGAGTGCTTTGGAAAACATCTACCACGGGAGTCAGTGCAGCCAGCCGTCACCTGCTCCCAAGGCGAACAACTTTATTGTTAAGCCACCCCCCAACTAGTTCGCCTCTGATAAACTCTCCCTCGTTTTCACAATGACTGTTTACTCATAGTTAGCACAATATTACCTTTGCCGTGATAAACCCGGAGGGGGGAGACCTGGCCCCTGGCCCCTGGGCACACCTGTCCCAGAAGCTGACACATGGATTTGGCTCCCGGCAGGCCTCCCCCCGGGGGCCCTGCCCCAGTGTACATTGGCCCAATTGACACTCATTTATAACAGGTTGGCTGCAAGGCCTATCTCGGTCCTATTTGTCTTCTTTTATTGAAAGCATATGGTCTCCAGGGGCTCACCAGCCCCATATTTCATCTGCCAGGAGCTGGGGCGCTTCCGCAGGCTGGTGCTGCCCGGCGCGCGGCTCCCCACTCAACGGCTGCTGCGCCAGCTGAGGGGATGGTGGAGGTAGGGTGGGGAGAGATAAGGCGGGCTCCTCACCCGCTTTCTGAGAGAAGCCATTCCGCAGAGACTCCCCCTCCCCAGGCCCAGGGATCTCGTGCGCTCTTGAAAGGGTGGATAGTTCTTTTTCTTGGGTAGGTGAGAGGGCGCCATATGCCACCCCCTAGGGCGCTTGAGGGAGCTCCGGCCCAGGGAACCTTCGAACAAAGGGAGGAGAGGTCCTGGGCGCTCAGGAGCGCCCGAGGTCTTTATTTCCAGGTCCCCCTCCCTGTCCAAGGCCGCCTCCCCCAGGCGTCCGCAGTTCGCGCGCAGCGCCTGGAAACAAAGTGTCCACATTATCCCCGCCGACGGCTGGCGCGGTGAATGCGTGAAAAGGTGCATTGCGCACCAAGACACCTGTTGAAGCGGCGCCTCTTCTCAGAGCCTCTTTGCTCTGCGCTCGGTTAGGAGCTGCGCGGGGACTGGGGGGGTGGGAGGAGGGAGAGATACTGTGATTTGTGGCGACATATGTTGAGCAGATCGGTGTGTACTCTTCACAGGCACACATGCACCCTCGCTCCCATACACACCCGCGAGAAGGAGCAGCTGCTCTCCTCACCTTCTCCCGACATAATACCTGGGCCAGGCGCTTTGGCCTCGCCTTTTGAGGCTCCAGCTCTCCCCCACCCTCTCGGTCTTCCGCCCCCACCCGCTGCCCCAATCTTGGCAGCTTTGCTGTAGGACTTTATTGTCAAATTTAACAGATGCACGTTTGTTCCCAGCGCCTGGCCCCAAACACACACACACACACACGCGCGCGCGCGCATACACACACACACACACACAGGCACCCACAGAAAACGCAACCGACGACACAGATGCGGAGCGCGAGATGCCCATATGTCCCCCTCTGAGCCCGTGCGGGCTGGAGAAACAAACAGGCTGTGTGATTTTCCCTCCCCAGAAAGAAAGAAACAACGGAAGCTGGGGGTGGGGTGGGCTGGGAGGCCACCTCCAGGAGGCTCCAACTTGGCGCTTTTGCCCCGTGGCGCAGTGGTGCACCGCGCAGCGCCGGCAGCCAGGAGAGCGCATGGCTGCGGACGCAGCCGAAAGGCGCCGGGGAGAGGCCCCGCAGGGCTGAGCAGAGAGGGCCCAAGGTCTGCGGGTGCCCGCTGGACACTGCCTGACTTCCGGCCCTCGCTTGACCTGTGGGCTTCTGAACTCCCGGGTGGTGAAGGCGCTTCAGTCCTCCCGGGATTCCCAGGAGCTGGCGTGCACCTGAGGCACACGAGGGACCCGCCCCTGCACCCGGAAGAGTCCACTTGTCTCCATTAGCGTGCTGACAACGGCCCGTTTCCAGAGCTGGGCTTCGGTGATAAAACACGATGGGAAGAGCACTGGACCCACATGGGGGTGCGGCGGGGAGGGCCTGGCTCGCCCACCACCCCGGCGCCACTGGAAGCGAATTGTTGCTGTGGGCCCGTTTCCCATGTGTTAAAGGAGAGAGCTGCGAGGGAAACACTTGGTAATTTCATTTTCACGTCTGCAAAGTTTGGAAGTCTTGGACATCAATGGGCCTTCCCCTGTGAAGGAAGGAAACCCAGAGAGAGGGCAGCTCCCCTCTCCCAATGTACAGACACACACACGTTGTTTTCTCGGATCTGAGTTTCTGGCCACTTGGTCTTTCACCAGCAGCTGAAGGGCTGGGAGCAGGATGGTGGTGGGGAAGGGTAGGTGTGGCACTGGGGCCTTAGGAAGCCATCCTCTCTGCTTCCTCCATCTCTCAACTCTTGGGCCACAGGCAACTGGTAAGTCACTGTGACACTTAGCGACAGGTCAGCCATACTTGCTGCTACCAGGCTTTCAGACCTTCATTTCTTCCAGTGCTGGCAGGGAGCTGGGAAGCTGGGTGGGGGGCTTGTGCCCACTGAGTCCCTTCCTCCCTCCAGGCCTGTTTCTGGAGAAACATGTGCCCTAGCCACCATCAGTGTGCACTTGGATAAGCTCTTCTCATTCCCAAAGATAGGGGCAGCCTTCCTCAGTCTTACACAAATGCTCAGTATTTACTCCATGTGAATTTATTTCACTGAAGGTGATCCTAGCATTTCCAAGGGCCACTGGCCCAGGGCAGGGGGTCATTCTTCTCTGGGAATTCCTCTCTAGAAGTTGGATACCTCCCTTCCTGCCACCCTATGGGGATGCTGTTTAGCAGAATCAGGAAGAACCAAAGAGTCTCAGCTCTCAATTGCTGAGCTTTGGCTGAGAGCAGGAGGAATCTATCCACCCCACTTACTTAGATCACCATGAGATATTCACCTCCACCTCCAGTTTCCAGGTTGGGAAGGCAGGAAGAGGACAGGGTGGTAGGTGGGGAGAGTCAAGAATTAATTCTAGATTAACTCAGTGCAAAAACAACAAAATGAAATGCAATGCATTTTTCTGTGCAGTGCTTAGAACACCTAATTCTATTCATGCCGAATTTTGAAGGAGGTATATCACCTTACACGCTTGTATAACTTGTAGGGCAGCCAGGAAGGGATTTTTTTAAATTCTCATTTTATACCTGAGCAGTCTGGGTCTCAAGGTCCTAGAGCCAAGAGTGGCAGTTAGCTTCCCTTACATATACTCCAGTTAGCTGGCAGAGAATCTTCATTTTTGTCCCCCTCCCAGACTCCCAGGATCTGGGCTAGTGGCTATCAGAAATGTAAATATCCCATTCAATGAAATAAATTGTCACTGTGCACACCCCAGGGTCTCCTCCTGCAACCTGTTAGAGCTCTGCAGAAGTGGGCAAGTCTCAGTAGGGGCTCTGTGGGCACGAGGGATTGAAGGGTTTGGGAGCAATAAATAAATGAGACTGTTCCCTCCACTCCCTATGGCACCCTTGTGTCTCCCCCTAATTCTCTGTTAACACTGTGGGGACATGGCCAGGCTTGCCTGACCTCGAGAGTGAGAGCTTCCTTCTATTTTGTGCCCAAGGCACCATTTCTGCCCCATCCTCCCAACTCTGCTTGGGGGCAAAACCTCATATTGCTCTTTTTTCAGACTTAAAAGCAGGTGGTCCCAACCTTTTTGATTATGTAGCCCTAGCAGAAAACTATTTTGGTCACACCTTCTAAAATGAGTTAGCAATTCATGATTCTTAATATATTATGTACAATATAAAGTATATGCAAAGTATTATTTGATTTATGATTTATAGATCTACTTCTATACCAGGAAACATACAGTAGTGGAAAGGAAGATGGGATTTTGACTCCGACAAATCTGGGTTCCTAATAGCTGAGTAACGCTGGCCTATTGGCTCAACCTCTCTGAGACACCGTCACTTTCTTACCTATAAAAGGGGCCGGTAGTAGAGTACCTACTTCATAGTGCTGAAGTGATCTAATTTGAGTAAAAGTGATTGGCAACAGCAGTGCTCCCTCACTCATGAATAAATATGATATGTGCATTGTAAAACATACCCCCAAAGAAACTTGCACCCAGGAAATAAAAATCAGTGTAACTAGAAGGCTTAACATCTGGCTCTTCTCCTGCTGTCCCCTCCATGCAACCCACTTCAGAGGCTGCTGACTCAGGCAAAGGCACAACAGTTCCACCCATGGCTATGACACAGGGTTATATTTGGCCAGCATTTTCTCACCCAAACTATCGAGGTATCACGGTCAGAGATCAGCATCCCATTTTGCATATGAAGAAACTGAGGCTTTAGAGGGGTGATGTGACTCACCCAGAGGCACGGTTTGTACCTCGGAGTGGGGATGAGAATAGGTTTTCTGACCCCAAGTCCACCCTGGCTCTGTGTCATGCTGTGGGTCCTGCTTGTGAGCTTGTCATGAAATCGATTCAACTCAGGTCTCTTGCCGAACGACTGCCAAAGAAGGGGATGCAGGCTGCCCAGCGAGGCCAGCTGGTGGTGCATGCATAGGGCTTATTCATTCTTTCCCACCAGAAGCCATCATGGGCTTGGAGGCCCACTGGCGAGTGACCTTATTTGGTGGAGTACACTTTGCAGATGCAAGTGTAGACGGGAGCACTTTTTTGCAGAGCTTCAAGTCTGCACAGGAAACTACAAATCAACTCCTTGTCAATGCAATTGCCCAGACATCAATCTAGCCCAGGTCAATTGGGCACACCTTACCTCTGTCCCATAAATGTTTATGAAGGATCATTATGACAGTATGATGA